GACGATCGTCGGGTCGGTTATAAGTAGCCGGCCAAGGAATGTAACCATACCTCGAAATTACTTCAGGAAAATTTTCTGAAGATACAACAACTACAAGTTTCGACGGGGTCGGCCAAACGAAAAGTCGGTGTTAGATCGGCTAATACTAAAAAAATATTGATCAAACCGCTTCTATAGTTGCATAGCATTTATTTTTCCTCCGTTAAAATAAATAAATATACATATATGTACATATTTTTATTGAATAGAAATTATTTGCAAGTATTTTGTTTAAAGAAAGTAATTTTTATTGTTTAGTTGTATAATTTCAGTGTTGCATCAGTAATAAACAAAAATAAACCAAGAGTATTAACAAAAATATATTAAACTAAATATGAGAGACAAAATAATAATTCGCTTTATTTTTCTTTATTAAAGGAATATAAGTTATCGCTCGAAATTTTACTTATTTTCGTTTTACTAATAAACAGCAATGATTTGCATTTTATTTTTCTATTGTTGTTATAGTTGTGTTAGTGGCTAAGTCAGTACACCTACAAATACAATAAATGTGTGCCAATTTTGCCCCAGCAGACATTTTAAGTTATTCTCTTTTTTTATTAAGTAAATATATATTTTGTTGATCCGCCTATCTTGCATACAAAAAAACTAGCAAAAATTTTATATAAATCGTTTACGGTATTTTTGGAGATTTGCACTATTACTTTTACTCTACAAACTTGCTGCTTTTACGACGATCAACGATTCTATCAACGATTCGTATACAAGCAACGGTCGTTAAAGGGATTGGTTGAGTGTGCGGCATACAATTACAATGAGCCTGATTGCAATTACTATTGTTAGGGCGAATATTTTAATACAAATTTAACAGAAAAAATGTTTTTTTTTTTTATATAAAAAGAGAAAGTATTTGTTAAAATGTTCTTTATAATTATATATTGTTTGGAAACGGTTTGTTTATCTATGACAACTTCTTGGCCTTCTGGTATAGTGTGTCCACTACTTTGCCCATGCTGTGTATGGTCTCCAAAACACGTTCGTAGGTTTTGTCCACGGGTGTCTCTTCAAATACGATAAGTACGCCTTCGCCCTGATCCAAAATGCCGCTGAATTTTTTGTCCAGAATCATTTGCGATAATTTCTTCTCCACTTGTGGCATTGGCAATTTAATGCATTCGGCGACATGAGAAACCTTACAAATTAAAAGGTTGAGTTGGTAACTATTCTTACGAGTACTTTTGCTTAAATGCTTACCTGGACTCTCGAATAGGGTTCAATGATGCGGCACAAATTCTGCTCCAACATAGTGTCATACAGCGTGCCCAAATGCGCTTTTACAATTACATCCTCGGACAATTCTTTCTTGTAGTCTTTCAAAGCTTCCTGGAAATCGGCGAGTGAACGTTTATGTGAAGCTTCAGCGACTGCCTTCATGGCGTCAATGTCGCGTCCCGAATAAGTGATGGCCTACAAAATGCACAGTAATGTAATAGAAATAAGTAAAGCGGACAAAAATTGTGAGTGAGTCTTTAGGCTTACCAATTTACCGCTCACTATCTGATTCACATCTTCGGATTGACCCAGCATAATTTTGCACAGCAACATGTATTTTAAGCCTGTTAGAGCTTTTGCATTATCCACACTGTCGAAGCTCTCGAATGCTTCGTAGAAGTAGGAGAAAGCTGTTTTAAAATCACGCTCATCGGCTGCATGTAAAATACCGGATTGCAAATCGAGCGCACCCTGCACCTTTGGCGGACAGTATATCGCATTGGCGGTTGTGCGTGCAGATGTGAGTGCTGCTCTGGCTTTCGGTAAATTGCTAAGTGCATGATAAGTTTTACTCTCCAACAATTGCACCTCAACCAAAAGGTTCTTGTCATCCAATTTCTTCAATTCACGTAGCAATTGCGAACCAAGTGCCAGTGCATCTGTATACAAACCGGTATCGAAAAATAGCGCAATCAGACGCGCCTCCAAAGACTGACGTAAGAATGTGCGCTTTTCTTGTTTTGCCCATTCAATGCAGTCTTTACATAATTGCACCTAAAGATAAACAAATTTTCGCAAATAAGTTTAGCATAGAAATTTCTATATATAAACGTTTCTATACAAACCTCTATACCAGTGCCAGCATCCATGTCCAAGAACATATCAACTAGCGTACGCACCATTTTGGCAGCCTTTGCTTTACTTATCAAGCTGAGAAACGGTCGCGTCACCTTGATCAAATCAGCCAATTCTTTGGCCTTGCCTTCTTGCTTGTATAGCTCACCAAGTTGCAGGATGCCCTGCTCCTTCAAACGAATTAACTCCTCATCGTTTTCAGCTACCTCTTGTTCACGTACAATTTTATTTAATAAAGTAATACCCTCTTCCCTATTCACGCTTGTAAGGGCTTGAGCGCGTTCAAACAACGTTGCTCCGGCCATTTTTCTGCTGCTGCAAATATGTTATTACAATATACCCAAATTTTAGTTGTAGTTTTTTGCGTACTCGATGTATTTGATCTATATCAAACGCTTTAGACAATTTATAATTGGAAATTTCGAGATAAAATGTCTAAAAATCTTTGTTGAGAATCAGTTGAAAATCACTTTTTCGCTTTTCGCTTTGGTCTGAGTGGCAAACCAATGACATTTCATGAACCGCCAGTCATGCAGAAATGCAGCCAACTGCAGAGAAAAGTGCTGCCCATCGAAACAAAATTGAGGAATCACGCAGACGGACGGCGAGATCAAAATCAATTTAAAATTTTGTAATTTTTGAAATAATCACAAAAAAGCACTGAATTATAAAAATATCATTATTAATACTGTAAAACTCTTTTTGTATCAACAATAACAATAAATTAACATACGAAGTTTTACGAAATTCTATGAATTTTTATACTTAGGATTTCCTCAATATTGCAACACTACGCTTGTTGTTTTGTTTTTGGAATCCTCCGGACATCTAGCTGTCAAAATTATACTAATATACCATTTTTTAGTTTTGGCACGAATCCTTTTTAAAAATAAAATTACTACAGCAAAATGCTGTATAATTATCGATAACGACAATACAAAAGTAAAAAAAACACATTTTTTTATCAACAAATAACTGCAAGGCCCTCCGTACAGTAAAGCAATTTAGTGCTATGGTTGAGGAAACAACACAAAGCAGCCGGCCGCGCATGAAGACCGCACGACCCAAGTCGGTGTGTCTATGGTCGGTAACCGATGTAAGGAAATGGTATATGCGGCACTGTGGGGAGTATCCACAATATCTGGAGCTCTTTTCAAAGGTAGTTTTTGTAATTTAAAGATTACTACGAAGGATTAAAGAGTAGTACTCACTTGAAGTCGACGCTCGGTTGGCAAACGCTCGCTACTCTGGCTGTCATTACACTGTTTATTCCGCTGATAATACTTCCAATCCTTGAACGTTTTCGTTTTAATTTCTTCAACTATTTTGAAGCTTTAAAAAGTGTTTTGTCTCTATAAAAGTAGCTAATGGCTTCACGCTTGAATTTTTATTAAACAAATTAAAATTATATGTGTCAAACAATTTTAAATTGTAAAAGTCAAAATAGGCGAGTTATTTTTTCTTTTTTACTACAAAAGTGTTTTGTACACAATTTATTTGTTTTTGAGTGATATTTAATAAATAAATAAATTGTATTAATTTTCAGCATGAAATTACCGGCCGGGCTCTGCTACGCATCAATGATTATTCACTGCAAAGGATGGGCATCAGTGACAGCGCCGATCGTGAGGCAATTTTCCGTGAGATATTAAAACAACGACTCAAAACTGATATTATGGAAATACGTGATATGGAACGTGAGATCAATACTTACTATAATACAAGATAAACAAACAGATCAAGCAGTATATTAGGGAAATCTTAGGTAAATTAAGTGAAAAACGCAGAGCTATGCACAATTTTAAGACAAAACCATTTTGATACATCATACGTACGAACGTCAAATGAAGTTGACTTTACAGCAAATCAAAACGCACACCAACGGCTAAGACAATTGTAATCCAGTACGTAAAAATTTGTCTCATTAGCGTCTAACATATTTTAGTAGTCAAATGTTAGTGAAAAATTATAATTATAGACTATATAGAATAATTATATTGCTTATAAAGTTTATTGTTACTTTAACGATGATCTAAATTGTTAAAATAGTAGTACTGCTTTGTTTAGTTTTTGAACGCTTGTCTATGCGCAAGTTTTATTTTGTATTGCTATAATAAAACAATTTCTCATTTCACAAATTTGCAAAAAACAAAAATGACAAAAAAAATTTAAATTAAGACAATTAACTGAAACACCACATAGCAATAATATGAACGGTATTAAATGTAGTTTACGAATATAGATATTGTGAAATTATATGCTTAAAATTGTATAATTAATTCGTTGATTAATCGACCAATTGCACAATATTTCCAATTATTAGGCAACAAAAGACGAGTAAAAATTCATTATATTTATATATATATATGTATATACAGATATATGTATTTTTAAAATTAAATATTTTATTGTAAAAATACTGCAATCTAGTTTTAAATATGACCTTACGTTTTTATAGTTTGCGTTCTGCTTAAAAAATCTATTTAAGAAATAAAAATTTACGCACTTACGATTTTATGCACATTAAAATACATATATAAAGTTATACGAAAATTTATCTAAGAAATTATTACTAATTTATCAAATATTTTACAAATTTTATAAATTACTAAAAACCATTTTTTGAACGTAATTATATTGTTATTTTATTATAAAAATATGTAAATTAATATTTTTTGAACTAAAAAGCAATTAAATGAGAATTGAAATTGCAATTGTTGAACAAATTTTTAGTGTGCAAATATACATATAATTTTTGCAAATATTTGCTATGCATTTTTATTAATTCATGCATTTATTAAATATATACATACATATGTACATATATATTTATATCAATTAAATTTTTGCAAACAATATTAAAACTAATTCTGTCTGTGGGTTCAAATTTCATTTGAAGCATTTTTAAGCTATAAATATCAATACGCGTATATTTTAGATATACGTAACGGTAAATGTTTAATTAGGATTTCACAAACTGTCGAATTTGTGCACTTTCAAAGTCCTTGACCACAAAATTTCACTAACGGTTGTTGCACTTTATTTAGAGAGAGTGAGTATTAAAAGCAGCTCAGTCTTCCCGTTCCGTTTTCGGTGTTACTAGCTGTACATCAACGCTTTGCACATTCGCAGTTGAGTCGGCAGCTGGCACCGTTACGGTCAACGGAGTTTGTGCGATGACAGCAGTTGGTGCCGGCGCCAGCTTTGGCAAAGCGTTGGCCGCCAGCTTTGTTGGTGTTAGTATGGTCGCACCGCCAGTCACGCCTGCTATGCTTGCACCGCCCGGCACTGCGGTCGTGAAGACCAGTTTCGGTGGATTGAGACGCATCTGTTGTGTGTGCGCCTGCATTGCGGCAGCAACTTGCTGTTGCTGCTGTTGTAACACTTGCGTCTGCTGTTGTTGTTGCTGCTGCTGTTGTGTGAATAGTTTCGGTAGCTCGGCAAAGAAGCGGTCCACAGCAGAACGCTCGAAGTCGAAGCGCTCACGTTCCAGCGCCAGTCGTTGCTGCTGTATCTCATTGTTCTCCGTTTGTGCATTGTATATGTGACGCAACAGTATACGCATGCTAGCTGCCTCCTTGCGTGAGAGCAATTCCTCGCGTCGCTGCTTGTCATGCAGCTGCTTTTGCTGGCGCTTATTCGCAGCCTTGACTTTGGCTTCCTCGACTTTCTTGAGTAATTGTTGCTGCTTCTGCTGTTGTTCCTTCTGTAGCTGCTGTGCTTGTTGCTCCTGTTGCTGCTGCTGCTGTTGCAATTGCTGTTGCTGTTGCGCCTGCTGTTGTTGCTGTTGCTTTTGTTGTTGCTGCTGCTGCTGCTGCAGTAGCGCAGCATTTATTTGCGGCAACAAGCTCTTACCCAAAGTCGTGTTTGTTGCAGCCATTTGTGCACCAGCCTGATCAGCATTGACCAGCAGTAGTTTCATGCCACCCGGACCCGTGGCCACAAAACCTGCACTGGTGGGCGTGCCCTGTGCGCCGGCCACACTCGCGGTGCCGCTGAGTAGAATGCGTCCGGGCTGCAATGTGCCGCTGGTATTTAATGCATTCGGCAGCAATTGAATTTGTGACTGGTGAAGTGGCATCAGTGGCGCTGGCGCCGGTGCTGTAGGTGTCGTGGCGGTTGGTGTTGTTGGTTTGGGCTGCATCAGGAAATTTGTGGGCACCAAAGAGATTTTACCCTGCGGCGTCGATTGTGTGCTGGACGTAGTTGTGGTTGTTGCTTTGGACGCGTTGGCTGCGGTTGAAGCAATCGTCATGGGACTTGAGACAGGCAGTACAATGCTCGATGAGTTATCGCCCAAACGTTCGATAAGTGTGGGCATTGTGTTTTTTTGCGTTGCAATGACCCCATTTTCTTCCTCAGCATCCACATCGATGGGTTCCTCTTTTATCAGTGTGCTACCCGCTGTGGTGGTCGCCTCGGCGCTCTGCTTTTTTTGCTGATTTAGTTTGGACTTTTCACCATCCGTCGATTTGCGCTTTACAGCCTTGCACAAGGGGAACTCCTCGCTATCCATGCTGTCATTTTCCTCCTTAATTTGCACCTCTCCCATATCATTGCTATCTGTGCTACGCGTGTCGGCGATATGCTCCTCGCCATATTCATTGCACAGCTCCAAACTGCCGTCGCTGGCTTTCGATATCTTGCGTCGTTTGGTTGCCGTTAGCGGTTTAGCGGTTTTCTCCGCCGCACTAGCAATGGCCGCAAAAGCTTCATCGTTAATATCCACCTCAACATCGGGTATTATGCCATCGTCAATGTCGTTTTTCGAGGCATTGCCATTACTCAACGCCACCAACTCATCTAGTCCGTCATCACTTTCGGACACAGTGCCACCTGTAAAATTAAAGTACATTTAAAAAGGTCTGTGTATAAAATTTTTACTACGTCCGCTTTACCTTCTTCCAAAATTTTCTGTCTACGCTCTTCGCGCTCTTCACGCGCTTTCTCCAACTGATATTTGAGCGATGGTGGTGGCACCTCATTCGGTCGCACACTGAAGATCGGTCGCTTCATAATCGCATCCATTTCGGCGTAATGCTTCCATGTGGGCTCAGCTGCCGATGCCAAACCCGATTCGATTTCTTTCTTCAAACGATTGTAGAAACATTTCAGATTCTTGACACGCGTGCTGATCTCTTCCGGCGAGCGATAGTAACCATATTGCTGCATCTTAGCGGCGAGATCACAGAGCACTGCATGCTTTTTGTGCGCTATTATTAGTGTGCGCTGCACTTTCGGATCACCCCACAGCTGTATGAGCAGTTTGGTTTCGTCTGTATCGAAGTTAGGATTACGCCCGATACTGCACGCCTTCTTTGAGCCCGATATGCTGTTTAGTACGCGATTGGTGGACACCCATTGCTCGCCGGAACGACGCTTCAACTTCAATCGAGCACTGCTTTTCTGACTCATCTTTGTTGGCGCCTAAAAACCCCGATAGTAGCTGAAATTGGCATAAACAATAATAAATTGAAATTGTATGCATCTAAATGTATGCTTTATTAATTATTGTCTAACTGATGCATCAGCTCGAAAAGTTAGATTAATGGTAGACTAAAGTAGCTATAAGATTAACAATATATTTTTCTAATCCCTTAAATTCTGAATTTCAAAATTGTGTAGAATAATTCCTTGGCGAAAAGCAAAGCACCATGTACTGAACAGTTTTAATTAGCTGAAAACTTTTTAATAAATGAAAAATAATGTTAACATCTTTGAAAAATTCGGTTATAGGATGCAACTACAAGCAAGTCAAGATATTATTTTTCTTTAAAGGACTTACGATAAAAATTTATAGCATATCTTTAGGCGCTTCGTAATGCCAATACTTCTATAATAATTTTACCGTTTTTTTAATTGAGCACAACTTTCGAAAATACATGCTCTGACATTCAAAATTCAATGCTTCAATCATTTGAACGTATTTGAGAAAAGCTAACATACCTCTAGCATACCCTTAGGCGGTAATTACATTATTTGAAGCATAACTTCGTTAATTTTTGCGGTATTTGAGTGGAAAATATGTGATTAAAACTGGTTCTGCTTATTATGGAAAGTATTTAAGGAAGTTGTATGTAACGGGAAAAAATCTTATCATTAAACACTGATCTTCACTTAAATCAGGAAGGAAAATATTACCGAAAAAATATTTTCCGCCAAGTGACATTTTAGCTACCCTTAACCCAATTTTCACAAAGCGCACATCCACACATACAAATTTGTGTTTTCATGCGCGCAACCTCCTGCCCAAACACCGGCACATAACAGCTACTTAAGCGGCAGCATACATACATACAAATATATTTATATGTGTATTATAATCATAAAACTCACAGCAGAAAATCAGCCTGAATGTATGCTTCAAAAACTGACAAAATGTATACTTAAACAGCCTAAATGTATGATTGTGCCAGAAATCAGCCTAAATGTATGCTTCAAAAATCGCCTAAATGTATGCTTTTGGAAGAACACACACAAATTGATACATAAAATAACGGAACTTCACCAAAATTATACGCAACTAATTTACAGATCAATATTATGCCAACTCTCGCTCGTGTGTGTGTGTGTATGAGTGCAACTCCAACTTTGTAATAAATCAATTATACTAGACCACACTCGCGTTTGTTAAGCCAATTGTTTTGTGCATGTGTCACACACCTGTATATCACCGGTTTGACGCGCGTCCTGACGCTCAACTCGTCTGTGCCCAACTAAACGCGGGCGAGTCGATAAAAGTGACGCACCAAGATTGTTGTAGCGTGGACCGTTGAGCGCTACGGCGGCTCAGACACAACAGCGCAACTCCGTGGCGTACAATGTGCGATAAACGAGTGCAAGCACACACACACGCATACAAACCAAGTGTAAAAAAAAAACGTTCAAAACGAAAATTGTGAAGGACGTGAAAATATCAAGCAACCCCTAGATGGCAACAATAAGCCGCCAGACCAGCAAAAATGCACTTGGCCAGCCTAGCCGCCATCCAGCAACACAACTGTGGCACGAACACATACACACACACACATACAAATATATAAATAATATTCCGCTGAGCTCGTTGCTCAGCAGTCGTCCACTTATGCAGCTTGCGCTCACTCACTCGATTCGCTTCGGCTGTTCGCCTCCGTATGTATGTGTTTGTTTTGATAATCGGCTCACACAGCAGCAGCAGCAGCACAACTTAAGCACACTTTCAGGCGTGTATCCTTGCTGTTACACTTTTCACCCGACCACTATTACATCGATATGTGCGCGCACGTTTATTTTATTTAATTATTATGCTTTTGTTTCGTTGTTTTTATTTGTATTCCTCGTTATTTGCTACAACACTTTAGTTCCGTACGCGCCGACGACTCTCTTGCAACTGAACGGGACTTCGTTTCGTGCGTTTTCGTTGAGTTGGTGCAGCGCGTGCATTGCCAAAGGGGGGTGGTGGTGGTGGTGGTAGGTTGTTGTGCTCGTTGGTTGCTTGGTGGGTTTGCTCGCCGCTTCGTGGCTAGCTGTGTAGCTGGTTTGTTTTTGTGTTTAAGTCTGCTGTGCTGTATATTTTGTGTTGTGCGCAGCCTGACATGCGCACTGGCAACGCGAAACATTGTACTTATTGAATTTGTTGTTGCGCCTACTGCTCCTTACGACAGTTTTATTGATTAATCGCAAAAGGAATTTTATGGAAATTTCATATATTGAATATTTTCGGAAATATTTAGAAATTTTTTAAGACACTTATAAAAAATGTTTTACTGAATTTAAATTAGTAACGGAATTGGAAACAAAAAATTGCAAAAATCAGCTTTTCCGCGCTACACATCGTTCTTGAGCCTTGTTATCGAGACAAAACTTGTTTTAAATTGTAAGTACTCATAGAGTATCAGCACATTGACTTAAGTAAACTTAACAAATTTATAATTTTGACAAGATATCTTCATGAAATCTGGCATAGATTATTAGCCAGAGCAACGGCACAATCCCCGTATATATATTTTTAGATAGATCCATTATAGCATATAGCTGCCATAGAAACTGGACCGATCAAAATCTAGTTCTTGTATCGAAAACTTTTTATTTGACGAGATTTCTTCACGAAATTCGGGCTATATAATTTTCTAATATAACGGTACAATCTCCGTTCTAATTATTCAAACCGGTCGACTATAACATATAGCTGCCATACAAACTGACCGATCGAAAACCAGTTCTTATATGGAAAACTTTTTTATTTGTGAAGAATGTTGAAGTTTTTTCTTAATCTTATTTATACTATAAATTGTAGCGCAGCGATTCTGACATAATGATGTTTGTACAACAACCATGTAGGTTGTTAAAAAAAAAAAAAACTTTTCATTAACTTTGCAGTAAATAAGAGTGGATATGGACGCCTCAACGGAAAAGGTTGTGTGAATTTACCTCAAAGGTCCGATCATGACAACAGGTACCAACTAGGCCAATCTATGCTAATGTTTGACATCCTGCGATGTTATTTGACGTCCTCTTTCTTACGATTGTTGTTTTTTATCAAAATGAGGGTGCACTTTTGGATACTCAGTGGTCTTAGGGACCATTTTATCAGTTTTTTCTTGAGGTATAGCTGTTGGTTATGTCCACCTTTCGTTCAAATACTTATATGGTTTGGATTAAGCAACATAACAAAAACTCAAAAACAATAACTGGATAATTCTCTTTCTATATAACACCAGCATTGGAGTCCTTAATCCATTATATACCCAAAACTATGATTCCAATCACTTTCGGGATTATTTAATCATGTCATACAATGTTGAGGAAGCGCCCTAACAAGGCTAAACGCTGACTATTTACAATTTTGGGGATCCTTTAGGGGTAGGACATGTCTTATATGCAAATGCATTCAAATATATTATCAACAGAACTAACCTGTATGTATGTGTATATAATTATATATGATATATGTAAATATATGTTTCCTGCGATATTGACTTCACTTTAATGCTTCCAACTCATCACACTTAAAAATGTATTACCATACAAAGTTTGCCATTGCATCGAACACCTTTCTGCAAAAACAAATGCAAAAATATCAAAGATGTGAATATAAATTAAGTCAAGGGTAGTTTACTTTATGTGACAACATTAACTCAGCAACGCGTTCACCACCACCGCGGTGCCTACCAAATTGTCGCAGTAGCACTAGCGAAATCAACAGTAACAACAACAATAACGGCTGTCTCATATGAGGAGCCGAAGCAGCAGCAGCCATAAATCTATAAATTTGCGACTTTATACATCCATRCATACATACATAAATATCTACTGACATATAAACAAGTAGCCAGTCCGTCAGTAATCACAAATCTGCGCATAACATTTTGCTGCACATGCGCAGTGGTCGGTTTCTCATCGTTTGGGCATTGACTTGTACTTTTCCTATTTGTAGCGTACATACATATTATTCCTTTCCGAGCAACATGCGCTCGTGCCTTGTGATAGTCACTGTTCAGCCACTACCTCTTCCGAAAAACCAAAAAAAATGCTGTCGATTTGCGCGTGATAGTGGAAAAAAAGTCAGCATATACATATGTACACATGTATTTGCATAGGGGTGGCGGCTGCTGCATGCGGGTATACGTTTGTACTTTTATTATTGTTGTAGCAGGCTTTGATGTCCTTGCTTCTCCGGCCACTGTACATGTGCATTTATTTAGCATTTGCTCATTGAAGTGATTGCAAGGCATGCAAGTGAAATAAAATGCACAGATTTAGAGGTTGAAATGGTAATTTGTGTGGGTAAAGGTACGAAGTATTTTTGGAGCTTAATTCTCTTGTTTGAATATTAAATTAATTATAAGTAAAAATGTGTATATTTTGAGTTTTTTGAGTATTTTTACGTATTTTATATTTACACCAATCATATGCGATATACTTGTATATTTTATAAACTTTCAAAGATTTACATAAAGATATGCCGGGTGATATATTTTTTTTTTTGCAAATGATACTTTTTGTTCCACAAAAATAAATTTCTTTGTGTTTTAATATGACTATAGTATATGTATACATGGTAGCAACCTAAACCGGACAATTGAAAATTAAAAAAAATTTAATAAATTCATCAAACGTCGTTTTAAAATTTTAAATAAATTTAAAGGAACTAAAAATTGCAAACAATTCATAAGCTCCCACAATCAGATGATGAAACAACACATTCAAATACTAACGGTATTCCATCCGTTCAAAAATCTATTACATATCTGTGCTTAAAAGTATTGTCAACAGAACCAGCCAGCTGAAAATTTGACATTTCACTTTGACAATTGCTTGACAGTTTGTAATATAATAATTTGCTCGTTGAAATTGCTGCGGTTCGAAGTGTGTATAAAAACGAAAACAATCAGCAATAATGCCTGAATTATCAGCAGCTGAGAAGGATTTCTTGCGTCGCAAACATGAGCAGACATCAAAGTTGCGTGCCGAATATTTGAAACAAATATCAAACCCGTACAGGCATGCGACAGGCGAAGGTGGCACTTTGGTAAATATATTGTCTGACGCGCTGTTATGTCATCAATACTCTACCGATTTATTAAAACAATGATATTGCATTTGATTACAGTTTGATGCCGGTTTGGCGCGTTTCCAAGCGATGCGTGTCTCCAACTACGATCACTTTCGACCTACCGGCGTAGCTTTCCGTGCGGGTATGTTCGCCGTTGTGTTGCCAATTGTTCTCTATGCTTGGGCGCTGAAATCCGAACGAGATGGTCGCGAACACAAATACCGCACTGGACAGGTGGCCTATAAGGATCGTCAATTCAAATTCATCTAAATTTCGTTTCGCTGAAAAGTTCATAAAAAAATAGCTTCTGGCAAAGTTATAGCTATATTGAAAATATGTGCATACGCTTTTATTAATGAATAAACGTAGACTAATTAATATGAAAATTGAACATAAAATTGCGATTAATATAAATAAAGTGCAGCAAAATCTATTTATCTTCCAGTTGTTTATCGCGTGCAATAACATTGTCATCGAATTTGACCATGTATGTTGTGCCTTTATGCCAATGAGCAGTCACTTTGCAAGGCTGGGAACAAAAAAATATACATAAATTAAATAGGTGAGACGAAAGTTAACACTATTTTTATGCTTACAAATCCTGAATGCTTTAGCACTGCCTCCACAATACCCGCTGTAAAATTGGCACAATTAAGTGTACTCTTATCCTTAGGTACACTTATGAACGTATTGACCATTGGCTCCTTTTCGATAATATAATAAGTGCATTCATCGTCATTTGCATGTTCGAGCTTTTCGGCCTCTTTGCCAAATAAATTCTTCCATACTGTTGTTTTTACAAATAACAGCATTTGTGTTAACTTTGTTTCACGTTTGCCATTGCGTTCGCGCATAAAATACAAATCAATAACCCGTGTGCCCACATCTTGGCCAAGGGCATGCAATCTTTATAAAAAACTAAATGTTAAAATACAAAAAATATGTTATTTGTAGATGTACGCACCTGTTTTGTAGCTCCTGCACTGTGCTCACTTGACTTTGGCAGTATTGCACGATCTCACTGAAAAGTAGCGCTACTATGCTTTGCGATACCTCGCCCTTACCTTTAGATAGTGGTCGGTCAAGTATGTTTGTGCGTGGACGCATTGACGATATTTTCAGCGCCTCCAATTTTTCCATTATGAAATATGAAAATTAATATTGTATTTTGTTACCTTAGCTTGTAGTAAAAATAGAAATGCAATTGTTTTGTTGATCTGTTAAACAGCTGATTGAACGGAGCTGCCAAGCTGTGACAGTAGTCAAAACTGTCACTTTTGAATGGAAATAGCCGGAAGGAACAACATATGTATTGAAAGTCATTATTTAACTGTTGATTTAAATTCATAGTACTTTGTTACTCAGCAACAGAAATTCTTCGGTACTAATAACAAAATTTTTAAATAAGAATAACTCAGAATACATATATTTATTACAACTAAAATGCTTAACGGTTCACATGACAGTAGGGTGATCGGAACGTTGTTGTTTAACGGAAAAAATTCCTGAAGCAATTTGAATGCATGGAGCCGAGTTAGCCGCATAAAATTCTGGGTCGATTCGAGTTACTCAGACCCGACTGTCGTGCGAAAAGTGCTTCCGATGGAATTACATATACACCCTCATCCCAGCCGCATTTGATAAAATTTGTATATACCAGCCATTTCAAAAGCTCGAGAATGCTACTTTTCTCCATGTGTAAACAATTTTAGTAAAACATAAGTTCAAATTTTGTTTTTTTTTATTCATTAGATTTTATTAAATATTTTATTAAATTTTTATTATTTGCATTTTGCTTCAATGCA